CCTACACGATGAAAGACTCCTACTGGGCCAGGGAAAGCCTCAGGGCCTGGAGATGAGGTGCCTGCACGGGCAGCAGGAACCCAAACCAGGAGATAGAAGCAAGAGCTGAGAGAGGGCAGCACTTCAATGATCCAGAATTGACATTTACGGAGCAAGTGACAAGACCCACTGATCGCACGCGGCGCAGTGTATCTCGTGTTATCATCTAGACTGCAGCCAGACAGATCCCTGCTTATCTCTGCGGTACGGAGTGAGCAGATCTAATGGGTTGGGCCTGATCCAGGCCCCACCTCCCAACCCCACAGAGAACCGGTGATGGGCTACTGCGGAGCGGCGGGAGGCTTCAGCAAGCTCTGTCCATACCCTGAGCCCCCGGCAGGCACGCGATGGCCGGAGCACAAGTGGCATGTGCCCGTGCGGAGCGTCCACTCACACGTCACAGATGCGTCCCCCCTCGGCCAGCCAACACTGACACCATGTGCTTGCGTGTGCCACAGACATGCACACCATGGGACCAGCAGATCTCAGCCTCCCTACCCTGCTCCGCCTGGAACTTGGCACCCAGCGCTAATAACACTCATGCTCCCAAGGGCAAGGCAGGGACAGGTGACACCCAGAGGCTGCCAGAGGGGCACCAGGGCACAAGCACTGCCATGTGAGGACAACGGTATCTCCTGAGACTGAGCAGGGTCAGCAAGAACACCAGGACAAAAGGAAAACTAGTGCCCACACACCACAGGGAACCCAAAGTACTCCGCCCTCCCCCAACCTCCCTGGTCCCCAGTGCCCAGCTAGCCTGGTTCACCTCCCTCCTAATCCCCAGCCTGCCCTGTGGGCCAGGTCCCCATGTCACAAGAGGCTGCCCAGAGCCCCAGTGGGGGAAGGAAGCTCTTCTAGGAGGAGGGCCCAGCAGCCCTGGCTGAGCCCCTCATGCCCTCAGGGAGAAGGGGGTGCTGGGGTGCAGGAAGGGCCCACAGGAACAGCCCCAGGCCCCGCTGTTCTCTATGGCTTTTTATTCCTATGTGATTCTACTGCTCACTCATATAGGGATTGGAGCCGTGGCGCACGGCGGGGGCGGCCAGCGGAGGGCTCGGAATGAGCAAGGAGCCTGCGGGGGGCCAGGACAGTGGCACCTCCCTCTCCCCACCCAGACTGCCAGTTGAGTCAACAAAGCCCCCTCTGCTGTTCTCCCCTTCTCTCACCAGCTGTGGCAGGAGGAGGGGCAGGGAGCTGCTGGACCTCATCACCGCTCTGACCCACCACAGCAGCAAAGGAGAACCCCACCGTAGGGTTGGCACCAGAGCCTGGCCTGTGTCCCTAGAGTGACTAAAAGAGCTGGCATGCTCAGCCCAAGGATGGGACTGGCCCAGAGAAACAAAAGCCCAGCGTCTGCGGCTCAGGGAAACCCCTGGATGAACAGAGGGTTGGGAAGTGGGGCAGATTGCAGCTCAACCCAATGTGCATTCTGTGGCTAAGAGCTGCCCAAAGACACGAGGGACAGCCCTGGTGGCGGGCAGTAAATATCCACAGAGGCATACTGGCAGAGGCCGCAGTATGCTACAGGGAAGTCCTGATGGAGTAGGTGGCCTGGGCTCGCGGACCCCACAGACTGTGGTGCTTAGGCCTATCTTCCCAGGGGTCTCTGCTCAGGCACATCAAGGCTGTCAGGAACTAGGCTCAACCCTCACCAGCTCCCATTTACATGAAACAAGTCCTGAGTGTGCCCAGGAGAGGGGGTGTGAGAAACTCACGTCAGGTCCTGACAGTTATCTGTAGCTGCAGCCATGCACACTCCCTCTCCCCCGTGGCTCTCCTGGGAGTCTCTGCTCTCAGGGAAGATGCATCAAAACCATAGTGTGGTCTTCTTTATTTGCAGTCTCTTGCTTCACTCCACAGATAACACAAGCTGAGGGGCTTGGCAGAGAGGGGTACCCAGGAGGGAAGAGCAGTGAACTGGCCCAGGGGCTTATCTCAGTCCACAGGGGGCCTGCTGCCATGGTAAGCAGTAGGGATGAAGGGGAGCCCCCATCTGCCAGTCTCACTGTGGGGGACAGGCAGGATAGAGAAGCCCTGGGCAGATGGTGTGAGGGCCCAAGGAGAGGGCCCTGTGGCTTGGTAAAACCCTGGGGACCACCAAAGTGTCCGCTTTTGGAAGCCTCCTCTAGATTCCCAAAATGTGAACTATGCCAGATTCAAGGCCTCAGGAACAGGAAGTGGGTGTCCATGACGTTGGTACCTGTCATCCCTGTGTGCAGCAGGTGCTTCCCACCCTGAAGGCGGCAAAAGAAGGTGTGCGAGTCGTTGTGGGCTAGGAAGGTGGCCATGTCCAGGCCTTCAGCAGCAGCCTGGCTGGCAAGCTCAGCCGTAACCCAGGCCCCGGCAGCTTCTGTGGGCCCATCCTGCCCATCGGTGCCGCCGCTCAAAAAAAGCACATCAACATGCCCCAGAGGCCATCCTTCCAGCTCTGCTCCAACACGCAGCGCCAGCTCCTGGTTCCGGCCACCCTTGCCTGAGCCCTGCAGCTGCACTGTGGGCTCGCCACCGGCCAGTAGGCAGACTGGGCCCCTGGCCCCTGCCACGGCCTCCAGGGCCTCCTCTAGCTGCAGGTCTGGGAGCTGAAGCTCGACTGCCAGCTCATGGAGTTTTGCATCCTCCTCCACAGAAGCCCCAGCTGTGGACGGGGTAAGGCGGGTTCCAGCCACACGGGCCAGCAACCCATAGAACTGGGCCACCCTTTTCACATCACCCTGCACAGCTGCACTCAGCACAACAGCCCGGTAGCCTAGTGCCTCGGCCTTCTGCTGGGTCTCAGCCAGTGCCAGCATATTGGATCCGATGATCACGTTGTGGACGTGACCACAGGTGTGTGGCCCATGAGGGTCAGAGTCGGCCCGAGACAGCACAGTCTTCACAGAACGTGGCAGGGCTGCACGAAGGCCATAGCGATTAAGGACATGTAGGCAATCTTGCACATTGTGGGCGCTGGCCACAGTGGGGCCGCTGGCAATCACCTCCACGGGATCCCCCACCACGTCTGACAGGATCAGGCTCACCACCTGGGGAAGCACCACAGGACACAACTCAGTCCCACCTACTCATCGTCCCGAGCCTGTAAGGACAGACTGCCCCTGCATATCCACCTACCCTCATACCAACTGCTGCGCTTCCTGGCCCACTTCTAATCCTTCTCAAGTGGACTACCCCTCACGCTCTCTGAGGACCCTCTGACTTCACCCAGCCGGCCTGGACTCTCATGCCAGGTCCCCACAGATCTGTAAGTCATTCTAGGCATTCACCTCCCTGCACATGTGGACCTGACTGCACCCGCCTGGTGCTGCCTGGGGAGGAAGCACTTCACACCTGGGCAGGGTAGGCGGCTTGAGCCAGTCCCCCACCCTTGAGCTGGGACAGAGACTTCCGGATGGTGTTCAGCTCCTGGATGGTGGCTCCACGGGCTGCCAGCAGCTTGGTGAGCGTCTGCTTCTCCTCTAGCGTCACAGGCGGGATGGGGGCAGGCAGCAGGGCTGAGCCCCCACCTGCACAAAGTGAAGGCATCAGGTAGAGGGAACACTCCAGCTCAGGGGACCAGATAAGCAGCATGGACAATCCCACCTAAGGGAAGGGGGACTGGAAAGGTGGGGTTAGGGTGCCCCCACGTGGACATGCAGTGAGTATGTCCAGTCACCACCTGGCCACTTGAGGCTGTCCCTCCCTTGGAGTGCCCCAGGTCCCAGCAGACACCGGAGAAACTAATTATTCCTTAAGAGCTTAGAATAGCGGGTACAGTAGGGGAGACAGAGGTGGACTAAGGAGAGGACTCCGAGGTCTGAAGACTTGTTCTAGCCCTGGGTGACACTGGTGCAGACAGCAGCAACAGCAATGCCATTTTCTAAGGGCTCAGCTGACATGCCCAGGCCTGTGTTAGGAGCTCCCCGTGCATCCTCACCATTGCTCCCTAACACTAGTTTGCGGGGAGCACCCTATAGTTCAAGGGAGGTCAGATGACTGGCCCAAGGTTGCCCAGTGGTCACCATTCAGGCTCCCATTGCTTCCCTTGCTCCCAATTTCACATTGTGACCCTGAGAGCTCAGATCCAATTTCTAGAAGACCTCACATTTCTAGCACCCCCTGGGCAATGATTTTGAGCCAGTCTGGCATGCATACCTGAGATGAGCACAAGCAGCAGGTCATCGGCTGTGAGTCCCTCGGCCAGCTGCCTGATGGCCAGTGCAGCCCGCAGAGCATCACGGTCTGGAAGGTTGTCTTGAGCACCCTCAAACACCTGGACTCGGCTGTGCGGCCTGAGCAGCATCTCACTGAAGAAAGAGAACACAGAGCAAGGGGTAGGTGGGTTCCTCTCCTCCTACCATGACCTTGGCTGTACGGGTGACAAGGTCATGAGCAAGGAGGCCCACGGACACTCATTCTGGAGCCAGACCAGATCCAGGAGAAAAAGGAAGCTGCTTAGAGAGGGAGGCCCTGATCCAGCCAGGATCTGTGCCTAGGTTTCCCCCCAGACAGACAATGGGGAGCAGCCACCCATGGCTCCTTACTGCTTGCCGGCGTGCTCCATGGCAGCACGGATGCCCTTGGGAACGCTGATCACACCCTGCACGAGATGCTGGCCCAGCAGTTCCTCAGCTGCAGCTGCCATGCCTAGCACAGCCTTGCCAAAGCCCACCAGGTACAGGTTCTGCCGCAGTTGAAAGCTCCGGTCCCGCACCTTCAGGTGTCCGCCATCAGGGTCCAAAGACAGCACCCGGTGCAGCATGGGGCCAGGCAGCACAGCCCCTATAGCACTCTCAAACAGCTGCCGAGCCTGTTCTGCCAGCGCCATGCGACTGGCCAGCCGGGCGCCCCCAGAGAAGTGGATATAAGGGGGCTCGGGCCAAGCGGGGCACGATCTGCAGGACTGCAGCCATGCCCCACTGCTCTCAGCACCGCCTGGCACCCATGACTGCCTAGGGGGGAGAAAGCACAAGTAAGGCTATTGCAAAGCCAGTCAGGAGGCCCCCCACAGCCACCGTTCTGAGGGCTCAGGGCTGGTGGAGCCCACAGCTGCTGCTGCAAGAATGAGCCATTTGATAGCCCCAGCAGACTTCGAGAAGCCCACAGCTGCTTGATCTCACTCTAGTCCTTGCAGCCCAGCCTTGCCACCTCGCCATGGCCTCTTCGGCAAACCACATGCTGGCCCTCTGGATACTCTGCCCCAAGTCCAAAGTCCCTATTAGCTGAGCCCTCCTCCTAGGTCATCCTCTGGCTAGGAGTTAATTATTCATAGAGGGAACAATTCCTAGCAGCAGGCTACTGCCCTGCCCCTTTTCTACCCCCTGCACTTCTGAGGCCTAACTCAGGGCAACACCCCTTTCTGGCACTCAAAACGCCCCTTTCTGGCCGTTTTTCCTTGTCTCTTTACCACCTCTGCAGCCAAGAGAGTGTTGGCTGTCCTACCCACTGACCCTGAGCCCATTGACCTCCAGCCTATTCTATTTCGTTGGCTCATGGGACTGGGCCAGTGAGCCTAAGAATGCTGGGTCTGTGTGAGAAGGCTAGAGACTCACCAGGGTATTTACAGGTCAGGCCAAGAGCACATCCTCAGGCTATACAACCTGAGGAATCCCAGCCTTTAGTGTCAGTCCAGCAAGAGGTTCAGGTTCAAGTCAGGAGTGGTTATAAAGTCTGGCTCATGATGGACCCCAGGGAAGTCGCCACTCATCACATGAGGTCATATGCCATGGGGCCCAATCTTCAGGACAGGAGAGAATGTCCTTCCACCCACATAGCTGGCCAGCCATACCCCTGCCAAGAACACCCCTTCTGGCTCTAAGAAAGCAAAATAAGTCTTGGGGCATACTGCCCACTGTGGTGAGAGCCCAGTGGCTGGAGCAGGCAGAAGTGAGGCTCCCAGAGCTGAACCTAAATAATTGTTTTCCCCACTGGGCAGAATAAAAGCTAGAGAAGCATTGGGTGAAGGTCAGGAAGTTGTAGAGGAGTTTCAGGACAATAAAGTTCTAAAGAGCACATCAGTAAAACAGCATCTCCTTTAATGAATAGCTACCATAAATGCTGCAGGCAGACTGCATCAGCAAGTGTGGATCGGATGGAGAAAGGAGGCTGAGAATCAGGATTCCAGCTCTACCACAGGTTTTTGGAGTGGCTGGGGCATCTCCATTTCTCTCACTAGGCCTCATCTGCAAAATGAGAGGTGGAGTGAGGTTATAATTAATGCTCTCTTGGAGCCAGCCCCCACAGCCTAGTGGTTAAAGGAGATAGATCTCACATGGTCAATCACAGTTCGAATCCCAGACCCTGAAGTTTGCAAAACATACTAGGTACACATGCATGCCCAAAAGCCTCATAGGACTGGAAAAATGGAAAAAGGTATGACCATGCTCCATTAAGGGGTGCTTTCTCCCCTCTCTGTAGCTAATACACATAATCTCTGGCAATTTAAAAAAAAAAAAAAAAAGAAAGAAAAGAAAAAAAGATGGGCCAGCAGGTGGCATGAAGGTTAAGGCACTGGATCCCACATAGCCACACAGCCGAACCTATGGTTTGAGTCCCAAACCCTGTAGCTTGAAAATCATGTGGGTGCCTGTGTTACTACCCAAGATCCCAAGGGAAGAATAGAGAAAAAGGGGTTGTGGCCTGGCCATCCACCTTGGGGGTTGATTTTTCATTTTCTTTCTTTCTGGAGAGTGCACATGCTCTATAGCAAAAACTTTAAACACACACACACACACACACACACACACACTCCTCTTTACACCCCAAGACTCTGTCCACTGTATCAAAGAAAACCCCAAACATCAGTTCATCCCATACCCAAATGACAGGCAACACCTAGATCTCTGGCCATGTAGCCTGCCTGGTGCTCTGCTTTCCCCCAAGAGACTAGCCCTGACTAGCCTGACTCCAATTATGAAAGGTAACAGACAGCAGTCCCCTGGGGCTCAGAAAACAGGCCTAGCAAAAAAAAATAAGAAGAAGAAAGAAAACGGGCCTAGCTTTTGCCACAGGAACCCCTGGGGCTTGCCCATTAGACTTGGAGCTAAAAGCGACTTTGTATCCGAAACGACGGATGTGTACAGCCTGGGTGAACTCTGTACAGATACTTCAGACAGGCCAAGTGTTGGAGGATCCCCACTTTGCCTCTGGACACTAGAGCCCAGCGCAGGGAGACCCTCAAGACTAAGGTCGCCAAATAAAACACAAGCCCTACTGTTAAATTAGGTAAACAATTCCATTTTCAGTATGCGTGTGTCCCACACAGCGTTTAGTATATACTAAATTAAGCTTGTTCGCCTGAACTTCAGATTTAACAGGGAGTCCTGTATATTTATTTTCTAAATTCGCTAATTCTACTCAGAGCATGATCTCCCCTAAACGCTCCAGCACGAAACCGCAACGGCCAAGGCTGGCTTCGTCTACCAGCGAGACGGGAGTCACTTCCGGCTTTCACTTGCTCTCAGAGGGCCCCGGACGTGACGTCACCCCCAACACGAGGCGTCGGGCCTTGAGAGAAATGGCTGCCTGGTGACGCATGAAATCATGGCCCACTACCACCTGGACCCGCTGTCACCTAGCTTAGGGACTGTTTCTAAGGCCATAAGGGCCCTCACGGGCGCGGACTTACCGCCCCTCCGCCCTGAGCCGCAGCTTCCTGTACACGGACCGGAAATGGCCGGTGATGGGCGGGGCGAGACCCGGAAGTGTGGGTGGAGCCGGGTTGGAGGGCTACCAGATGGGCGTTCAAAGTTGGAGGCTTCAGGATTTCCGGAGCCAAGTCTAGGGCTTTGCTCCTGTGACACTGAGAGACCCAGAGGGGTCCACCTGCAGGCCTCACTGCTTCGTCCCCTCCTTTATTCTGCGCGATCCAGTCGCTGCCGGGCACTAGGGAGAGCAAACAGACAGAACCACTGCCTCCGCACAGCCCACTCCTACTGGAGCCAGGTGAAGTCGTCCCAGCTCCTCCCCGAGGCTGTCATCTCACAGCAACGCATTGGTGGGTTCCAGATAGAATTCTGGCTCAGCAAGAGTTCAGTCCCGTGAGCCTCAGACTCGCAATCCGCGTGTAAATAGGAATGATGTCCCTGGCCTTCTGTACTGTCGCTGCTCTCACCCTGGGCCTGTCCCGTGCTGAGCTTGATGTTTACCTATATTCATACATAGCCCAATCCTGCACAGATTCCAGAAACACAAATGCTGTTTTTACTAATGTTTTCTCGGGGAGATGGGAGAAGGAATTGCATCCCAAATCATACCACAGACTCCCTAAAACTATTGAAACTTGCTTCTCCCTACCTGTTTCCTTTGTCAGTTGCCATATCTCTTTATAAGTTTCTAAACCATGCTCTGCTCTTGTCATAACACAAAGCCCTCCTGCAGATCGTTCCCTGGATTTTTCTTTCCCCCTAGAAAAGAAGTCCTTTCCTACCCTTCCCCCCAAAAATACCCCACCACATCATCAATGATCCCTACCCTCATCTTCAGGAGAATCTGCCCTCTTTAATATGGGAGGATTGTAAATGCTTAACATTTCATAATTTTCTCTTGCTTATAGTAAACTGTCATCATCCATCCATGCATTTATTCATTTCTCCATCATTCTTGGGACATTTCCTGAGTGCCTCTATATAGGCCAAATGCTGTAGCTGCTGAGGTGTCACTTTTATTATTTCTTAATTTTTTCCAATTTTTAAAGTCATTATTATTCATGATAGAGCACCCTTCACAGGGTCTGGTCATTTCTCAGAAAGGAATTGGACAAGAATCAGGAGGTCCCAGATCACTAGATGTTGTCTAGTGAACTTAAATCTAAAGCAACAGTCCCCAACCTCTAAGCCATGGACTGGTACCAGTCCTTTTTATTACAATATCATGATAATAAAAATAAACTGCATAATAAATGTAATACACTTGCATCATCCTGAAAACATCCCCACCTCCCTGATCCATGGGAAAATTGTCTTCCACAGAACCAGTCCCCGGTTCCAAAAGGGTTGAGGGCTGCTGATCTAAAGAATTCTTGAGACAAGTTGTTTTTTATTTGCTTTTATTATTTTTTTTATTTTTATTTTTTCTCCATAGGGCATGTGTGCTTGTGAAGAAAGAGTGGGGAACCAGCAGTTAGTGTAATGGCTATGTCGCTGGACTCCCACGTAGTTGACCGTGGTTCACGTCCCGGACCCGGTGGCTTAAAACTCACGCCGGGTGTGTGTGCGTGCGTGCGTGCCCAAGATCCCGAGAGGAGAATGGAGGAGAAGGGACTGTGGTGTGACCATCCCCCCTGGGGGGTGATTTCTCGCTTTCTGTCTCTATGTCTCTCTCTGTCTGTCTGGCGAGCGCACGCGCCCTACAGTGAAAATCTCTCCAAAAAAAAAAAGAAAGACAGAGTGAGTGAAAGTGAGAAATCGTACCCCAGAGATATATACATGCTGCATCCCTTCTCTATTTTCCTCTCATGATCTTGGGCACACATGCCCACACACTTGGCATGATTTTCAAGTTGCTGGGTCCAGGACACCAACCACAGAGTTTGCCCTGTGGGATCCATCACCTTAACCACCATGTCACCTGCTGGCCCATTTTGTTTTTTTCTTTTCTTTATTCACAATAGGGTGCATATGCGTGCATGAGAGAGTTGAGCACCCCTCTGCAAGGTCTTTCACACTGTGATCCCCTCCCTCCAGCCAAGCAGATCTTGAGCACTCATTCATGCACATTCCCAAAGTGTTGCTGGGATTGAGAATTCAAACTACAGTGGCTGCTTGGGATCCAACTTTCTTTATTCCCCAAGAATTATTTACTTAATTTTATTTATCATTATTAATTTTTTTGGAGAGGTTTTTGCTATAGGGTGTGTGCACTCGCCAGACAGACAGAGACAGAGAGACAGAAAGCGAGAAATCACCCCCCATGGGGGGATGGCCACGCCACAATCCCTTCTCCTCCATTCTCCTCTCGAGATCTTGGGCATGCATGCACACGCGCCCGGCGTGAGTTTAAGCCACTGGGTCCGGGACTCGAACCACAGTCGACTACGTGGGAGTCCAGCGACATAGCCATTATGCTAAGTCCCCCTAGCGTAAGTTTTAACTTGCCAGGTCTAGGACTTGAACCATAGTCAACAACATGAGAGTCCAGCAACATAACCATTATGCCATCTGCAGGTCCCTATAGCACTTCGAAAGAGAAATTTAAAATATTAACTTTATTAAGACTACTGTATGTTTGTTTGTTTCTTTTTTTTTTTTTCTTTTTTGGAGAGGTTTTCTCTATAGGGCACGTGCGCTCGCCAGACAGACAGCGAGAA